TTTGGGGGTGCTCATTACGAATATTGCTTTTGTTTGAACTGTCGTGTTTGCCATCTTGGATTTAGAAATGAGTGCCATATTTGTATTGAACATTCCCAAACATCTCGAAAACGATACCCAACTTGCCATTATTCGAAAAATCGCGCCCGCATCTTGGATTTAGAAATAAGTGCCATATTCGAAACCTAAAACCGAAAATGCCATAAGCAAACATTAAAGAAAATAACTGTTAAAATAGATTAAAAAATCGCTTAAGAATGCTCCCCTTTTAAGAAAATAAAATATTTTAATATAAAATATTTCGCTTGAGTTACGAAAAGAAAGACATATAATAAGCTATCAAAGTTGTACTGGTGGTGCCAACACTATAGTAGAAACAAATATATAAGTACTGTAAATTTGTTGCAATATGTGCTCCAATTCAAATAAAATTAAAATAAATAATTATTCAATAAAGCATGAACGCAGAGCCGTTAAAAGTATTATAAAATAATTAAGTGTCCCAATCACTTACAGGAGTTAACGAAAACATTTAATGTTTATTAAAGTAAATATTAGTTCAAGATGCGCAAATAAATCTAAATTACAGGCACCACTAAAATTTACGTAATATAATTATTTTGATACAGAATAGCAAAATGGGGAGAAAAAAATTCGTTACTTTGCAACACTTTCGTATCTTGTTGCCGCGAAATTATTTTTCTGTTTTAGTGAATATTTACATAAAAATATGAGTTGAAACGCATTACTTACTTGTGGAATGCGATGTTAGTGTCTATTTTATGTTTGTCTGTTGTATTTTTACACCCATTTACCGCACATTTCGTCATTTTTAGCAAAAAATTTTGGAGCTGTTCGCGGTGCAATATGACCTTGAGCACTAACAGCCCGCGCGCTCCTGGGACGCGTTTGGAACCCTCTAACTTGCCTCACTTAGCGTGTGCGGGCTAGGTTTCTATGCGTTATTATTCTAAGAATACAACCTGAAAAGAGACAAAAAGAACGTATAAACATCTATATTGTAAAGAAATACGAAAGTGAAAGAAATTAATAACAATAATTTAGTTTCAACTGACCTTTGTTGCCAAATATCGCCAATCCGGAGCTTCTTTTAGGAACTTCTTGATATTGTCAGCCGAAAATACTTTCGACTTTTTACTTACATGGCCATCTGAGCGTCTTTTTAGAAATGCTATCAAGTTGGAGTATGACTTGATATCAATACCATGGTTTGTTTTCATAGTGCTTTTTAGCATTGAATAGTAGCACCACAATGAGCTTGACTTATATTTTTGAGAAAGTTCCATCAAATAGGCTAAAAACACGTTTTCTGAAATTGAATTTGCATTTTTGCTTGTTTTTCATATGATGAAATTTTGATACCCTTGTAAGTATCTATCGGTCGATTTTTCAGGTAAGAGGCTTAGAGTAGCCTTTTTCGCTGCGTTTAAGACTTGTGGCGGTGTCAAATTAATAAATTCATCACTACTTGACGACATTTTCAAATAAAAACAATACAGCGAAAAGAAAAAGCGCGCGAAATAATTTTTACTTGTCCACAAATTAGCCATGCGCGCGCATCAACGTTTTTTTTTAGGCAAAGGTATAAAAATAGCCAGTATTACTAATAAAGTAAATTAATATTTTTGTGTTTTTGTTACAGATAAATGGTTGAAATTTATTGTCGAAATTAATTAAATGAAAGAATTAAATGTTTATTTACTATATTTTATCTCCCAAAGTTAATTTTATTCATAAAATATTGACCACTTTTCTAACATAAAAACTCTTTGCAAAGATTTAAAAAAGTATCGTTCATTTTTAGACGGAGCATCTTAAAAAACCGTGCGTGTTACTTTATTAAAAGAAAAAACTCGTGCGTTTTACATTACAATAACGCACTTGTGCGTTTACATTACAATAACGCACAAGTGCGTAATGAAATACATTACGATATTGAAATTGGTGTGATTTCAGCCACTTTACGAGCAAATATGTTATAAAGTACATTATATAATAACACCTACTTATCATCTACAAGACTAAGAGTCGTATTCTAGAACTCCACTCAATGCTCAAGTCAGGATTTCAGTATGGTTTAAAGCACTCGAAATAATACTCAAGTCCCTGCGGTTAGGGTCATATTTCCAGTGCTTGAAATCATACTCCGATTCTGACTTGAGCATTGAGTAAAGTTCTGGAATACGAGCCTTAGAAGGGAGGAATTATTACTAAACTATCAAAGCACAAACACATCATATAGTTTTTTTTTAATAATCACAGATAAGAATAGAATAGATAAGGTACAAACGGACATTCTATTTTATTTTATTGAATGATTTGTGATTAGCGCGTTGTTATATTTATGTAAGTGTATGTTGTTAAGAAATACTGTTTATTGTTCGTTTGTTTAATGCTTGTGTATGAGTTGTCTGAAGCTACATATAAGTGGAAACCTGTAATTGGCTTTACATTTATTTTCCTGTTTTTATTAAATGTAACAAGCTGTTGGTTTTCCATGTACAAATAAATAAGTAAATAAACATTTGAATACTTTCAAAGCTGAGGAATAATGCTTATTGCAAGAAATGGCAGTCTTAGTTTGAACTATTAGTCGAACTTTTTCATAAAATTAATATCTAATCTACGTGACGTACATTTTAGCTGGATTTTCTTTCTAACGGACAAGCTTACAAAAGCTCAAATACGTATAATCGCTCATCGTGATTGAGTGCCAAATTGACAGTCAGATTATACATTTTACCCACGCGTTTCCCATAACGAAAATCGAGCGATATTTTCAATAAACAATGTTTGATCTACGTTTTCGAATATACTTATAATGAAAACGTTAATAAACGTATGTATTTGCTTGTATTTTAATCAAGCACAGAGGTTTGTTGTGTGTACATAAGCCTTTAAAGATTCTAAAATGGATCATCTGGCCTGGCATGACCACAAAGGCAAAAGAGCTACCTATCAGAAGTCCGATATGACATTTTCCAGAAATAACGTTTGTTCGAATTTTCATAACTTCGAAAGTAATTTTGGGAGTAAAATGTTTTTTCTTTTAAACCCAATTTAACCTAACCTAACCGAACCTAATCGTTACTTTGCGATGTTTATCGCAAAGTAACGATTAGGTTCCAACATATCCTGAAAGAACTATGGTTTCGTTATAATTCGGTTTTCGGGGTAACGAAAATTCGAAAGAAACGTTATTTCGGAAAAAATAAATTACGATAGGTTACGAAGCAAAAGCAAGCTATATTTTCCTCAAACGTGACGTGGCGTGAGTTAGAGCGGCTACCCGGTTTGTGAAACACGCGATTGCATCTGGACACTATCGGTTTATAAGCGGTTGCATCGATGCAAACGCGCGACTGCATACATGCCGTCGCTTATTTTGAATCATTAAAATGAAGCTTTGCGTCACGATTGTATCGCTGCTGAGTCCACTACCTCAAAACGCTGTGTTTTTTGAATGCGTGTAACAGCGAAAGTGTGGAATCAATTCACTTTGAAAAAAAACATATAGGATAATTTAAGATATACACCGATACGGTGTGAAAACACGATTCCTAAAAATTTTCACTACAAAAAAATAAACAAATATACATCGAAATTTTACAAGAAAGCCGCTGTATTCAATAGGTACTTTACATATATCAATTATTATTTTTTTAACTAAATAGAACGCGTAACTATACGATATACATTTTTGAAATTGCTTTAATTACGTTTGTAAAAAAATAAATTCTGAAATAAAGTGTCGCTCGACCTAAGCAAAATGAACCGTATTAGTACAGAAAAGTTTGAATTCGAGCTGAGGTAGTATCAACTCTAGTCGCGCATGTGTGTAGAGGTAGACGTTTAGCGACTGCGTAGTTAAAAATCGCCGTTTGGAACCGCTCTTATCTCTACTGGAGCGAGCATGATCATTGCGCACACCGAAGCTATAATAGAAAGATGAATTTTCGACGTTCACGAGTTGTGTGCCAATAGTTAGCGTGCTGATTTATTTTTGAATCATTAGTCAACAAACCTGGTACGTTTGATTAATCGCGTTTATGTGAAATTCTTCTGCTTTGATCGAAGAAATAATTTTGTTTTGTTAATAAAATAAAAGTCAATAGGTGCATATGCGATCTCTCTCATAATTTTCAGCATTTTTTTATAGATTCACTTTGGAACAATATTTAATTCAGGGAGTGTCTCTGTTGTGCACGTAATTAGTTATATGCATAATTAAATCTGTGTTCCTACACACATTTCTTTTATACTACAATCTTTTTGAATTCGTTTTATTATCTGATTTCATACATTTTTTTAATTTCTTTTCGAATTTGAATCTCAAACCATTATTACATTTCATTTTACTTGTGTTTTACTACCATATTATTAATTTATTTTTTGTGAAATTACTCCACTAGTTTGTCATGACTATTAATACAAAGATCGACCACAAATAAAATTTCCTTCGATTTAATAAGACTGGAACCTGCGTCTGTATGTTAAACTCGAACAAGAAATTTTTGTTTGTCTTCGATTTTTAATTATATTTAACAATTTTTTTGTCAAAGTCATTTTAATTTAATTTGTTGTGCCACCTTTGAAATCCAAAGGTTAACTACATAGTTAGACGGCTCAGGGGCTTCACTTAAAGTTTTGCGATATGGCGGAGGTTGTTAAATTCAGAGTGGATTGAAATTCAGACTATTATATCCTTCACATTCAATTGACTGTAGACATAAGTACCCTTTCCTAGAAAACATTTCCTCACCACGTAGCAGCTATAAATAATTAATTTAATAAGTAATAAATAATTCATCATGCCGAGATGTTTATAACGTTTAATATAAAATAATTTAAAAGGTATTTTTGAATAGATACATAAAGGAATTTAATTTTATTGAAACATGTAAATACATATAACATCAACTAAAAAAATAATTCCAAAATTCCAGGTAGTATAGCTAACACCGCTATGTTATTTACAGAAATGGGGGCCATGAACGGATCGACGACGGTACCACGACGGAGTTTGGTCGGTTGCAAGTGCCGACTAACTCGGAACGGAATGGCGAATAACTCCAAATGCTCGAACTGCACTTCTTTGAGACAATTGAAACTGTTGACGCATCCATTGAGCAGAACTCCGTCTGCCCCGGCACGAGCTCTCTCTGTACGCTCAGACTTTGCTTAAAAGGCAGTGATCGTGTTGTGTTGTCCCTAGAAACTTTGGTGATGTTTAGTTAAACTTTATTTAATGTTAAATTTATTGTGTCTGTGTACATAAATATGTTTACGCATATTTCAGTTGCGCTTGTTCTTCGTGTTTAGAAGTTAAAAAATATTCATTGACGTAAGAATGACTAAAGATGAACATTATTTGTAATAAAAATAGTAAAGGTCTGTTATCATAATCGGTTAATAAGTGTAAAACATGTGATTAAAATAAAGTTTGTTACAAAGCATATGAGTTTTTTCAAATATTGTATTATTATTTAATATTATTTTGTCGCTATTTTTGTTAATAAAAAACCGTGAGCATGGCTGTGGGAGTCATCACACTTATGTCTACGTACGGTTTTTGCACCGTACAATAAGTCTGTTAACTTATGCCACGCGTAACTTGTGTCATTTATTGTAAAAGTAAATTAAGTCCTTGTAATGAAATTTTGTACTACTGAGCTTTTAGCAAATTAATGTGTAGTAATTTTAGTTCTGAGACTAAACTAGTAATGCCATCTATGGGATGTCAGTGCAATTATTGGAGTTATTTCACTTTTATAATGAAATATATGACTAAATGTGAAACTTTTAAACAAAAAAATATGTGTTTTAAAATATGGACTTATACCACTTTTAACACAATTATCATTAAGGCTTCAAACTCGACGACAGCGACCGGCGGCGGGCGGCGCGGGCGGCGCGGCGCAATGGCGGCAGCGGAGCGGCCGGCGTGCTGCGTGCTCGCGCGACTTGATCAAAATGCCTAGGTTTGCATTGTGCTGTTCTTGACTATATCAACAGCGGCGCGGGCGGCACGACAAGAGCGTCGCGAGCGATCTAGTCGCACTGTGGACGAGCGTTAGGTTAGGTAGAACATTCGTAGTGTCTGTTGTCCTGTTGTTTCTACCTTGTCGAAATATAAATTATTTCGACCAATCAAGTTGAGATGTCATTGGAAGAAATAATTTCTGCAATATTTATACATATATATTTTGTTATTTTACTTATCCCAAGGTCAGGCATATTTATTATTCTGCTGGAGATACTATTTATTGATAATTGAAGTCGGCAACAAACCAAGCGATCTGATCGCTAGCGTCGAGAACAAGTCAATTTCGCATCGCGGTCGCCGCCGCGCCGCTAGTCGCTGCCGTCCTTGTGGTTTACATCAACTCAACATCTTACAAGTATTTCATCCTTATCTACTTAACTATCCCTCGAACCTGAGACGTTCAGAGATCGAAATATATGCGTCTTTTTTTCCGTATTTCATAAGGATATTATTGCACGTTTAGCTTTCGCTCTGACCGTCCGCCGACCGCAAAATCGTCGACGTCCTTTTCGCTCTTAATGCAAGATAATTTTTTCTGAATAGCGCTATATTCAGTAAGTGTGGTCACTCTTTAAACGAAAGAATGGAGATTAAACATAGAAAATAAAAAAAATAATTAAATAATTATACATGTCACAGAAATGTTGATTTGCACTATCTAGTTCCGCGACAATAAAAACTTTGTCACGTGAACTAAATACCTTTGTCGGCTGTCAGTTATCAAAGTTTTATCTGAGTGTTTGTATTTTTTTTTTTGACATCAAAAGCACGAGACGAAATCGTAATCTTTGCATTTCTGATCTGAATCTGAACATACGAGAGATAAAATAACAATATCCAAGCCAATCTTATATGCCTCCAAGACAATTGGTATTTTTATATCGTTCCTTTGTGCTATGTGTGCACTTGGTTTTTGCGCTATATATACATATATCGGTCCCCTGGCTACGTCAATGTAATAATACGTCATAACGAAAACAAATTTAAGAGCTTTGAGAATAATATCTGGAATATTACGTAATATCACATATCTCTTGATGTAATGTGTTACGTATTCACTTGTTTCTTACGATCCTTGCATTTATAGATAGGTATCGTTTAAGTTCAAAACTCGCACCCGCTGCGAATTGCAGATTTTACTGTAAGTTTTAAGTAAGAGCGCTTACTCACTGCCTCTGATTCGTACTAGTTCCGAATCCGAGAATATACAGATCTAGAAAACGCGGACCGACTTCGGATATCGTTTGTCTGATACGTATCCGACAAAATACGAACATCGCTTGTACTCCTAGTGATTACTAATAACTATTTGTCCTTTCAATCTCCGTCAACTTTTGGCATTGTTAGTACTTACGAAGAGGCTAAAGAACTAAAAAGTTTTGGGTACACCTTCTCCTGTTGAACTGACCTTTCAGATACAAAATATATAATAATTACGATGAATTTAAACAAGATAGCAAGAAATTTATTTACAGTAATTTTGAACGAGTATGTATATTGAAAATTTCATTTGTTAATACAGATTATACCAAGTTACTTACGGTCCGCGAAATAATGATCCGTAATATTGAAGGTTTGCTCGACTTTGGAAGACGGATTTCGGCTTTGGTGCGTAATCGCTCATATAAATAGTACCTACTACGACTATTTCGGATCGTCATTTCTCGAATTGAATACGGACTGAATGAATACGAACACAGTGAACCGGACACAGTGCGCAAATGCTCTAAGGATGTTTATATTGTCCTTAGTTACAAGTTACATTTCTGAATATGGTAAAACTGTATTCAGTTAAATGTGTAAAACACTATGTTTACTATGGCTAAATGTGTGATGTGTGTAAATGTGTGTGTGTGTGCAACCGGACAATTTATAATTTATTATTATGTGTTGTCGTTACCAAAATAGTATTATAATACCTTGTCAGGCATCGCAACATGAAAGGGAGAGGGTCACACATTAATTATAATTTATCCTGGAAATATACGTCCACTTCGTAATAACTTTTAGAAATTAATAGGTTTTTCAATGCATTTATGAATTTATTCATATTTGGTTGTGTTTTCAAATATTCTGGTAGTTTATTATAGATTTTTATTGACATAGGATGAGGTTCGGAACTATGTATCTTCAATTTAGGGGTAGTTTGTATAGGTTCTTTTTTTATTTCGAGGAATGTGGCGTGTGAGGGGTGTCTCCTACTTTATAATAGGAATTAGGATATTTTTTTTATAAATTTGCAATTTCCATTGTATAATGAATTTACAAATAAATGCAGTCTCATTTGAAACAAGAAACGATAGAAATTTTAATGTAATATAGTGTGATTTTTTAAATTCCGGTTTAATATACTACTACACATTAGGTTGACCCTTACAAAATGATCTTTGACTTCGACAAGCTTCGATAAGCAAGTTTTTTGGTATTTTCGAAACGTACTTTGCCCTAGTTTAAGCAAAAATTACATAAACTTTGAGTTTATTTCATCGTTTCTTAGAATAATGTATAGGTTTCATAAAAACGAAATTTAAACTTTCGTTTTAAATCTTTAATAAAGCTATTTGAAGTAAATTTTCAAAATTTTCTATTACTTAAGGAATGATTGTAATATGTTAGAATGAAATAAAAATATAGGCAATATGTTAGAATGAAATAAAAAACCGCATTGACAACAAAGTACAAATGGTATGGTATGGTTTCGTGTCGTGAATGTTGTACGTCGTCGTATTCGTGCAACCCGAGTTCCTCCACGAATTTCTAAACCCTCCTGAACCTAGCATTGAAGTAGAAGATGCGCGGTCCTCTCCCTCTCGCAATTTGGAAGCAGATATACTAAACGTCATTTGTATGCCCTGGTTAAAAGTGTGAATATGTAAAACCGAGAAAAAATTAACAATATTTTTGTATTCTAGAAGTGACCGGGAGTGTATGTAGGAAAAAAGTTTTATCACTATTTTCTAGAAAAATCGCATCCTTCATGGAAGTATAGCATAAATCGAATTACACAAACTTTTTTTCTGTAATAATTTTTTTATATAATAGACACAGATTACAGAATATTAACAAAGAAATACATGCACCCTGTATTGTAACTCTGTCGATAATATTAACATTATAGCTAAAAAACCAAAACATTGTAACTTTTTTTTTAAATTTCACATCAAATGTGATTTGGGCAAATCCTTATCATAAGTAACTTAATCGACATTTCCAGCGAAATTGGGTTATTAACATTGGGGTTGGGGGTGGGGTTATTAACATATCTGTCAAACGAGATCTACAACCCCCTATCAGTTTTTTATATCTTATTTAGTTTCAGTTTTATTGTTAAGCGTAATCAGCGTAATTGTCAATATGTACCAGCAAAAAAGACTGTGTGCCAATATCTCGAAAGTCACCGAAATACGAGTACAAATGCGTTAGTTATGACAAGTGTTGTATATGTATGTATTTGGCCGTTTTGAAATGTAAAAAATAATTATACCTTTTTTCCAAAAGGTATAATTTAATTATTATTATTAATTTATTAAATTAAATGTGAAAATAATCCTACCGCCATTTGCAGACTTATTCAATTTAAATTCATTTGAAATTATAAATTGGCTGTTTAAGTTTGACAATTGCTAAAGTTTATGTAACTTTTTGTAAGACTTGTTTGTAACGCTAAACTTTGCTGCGAATGGACTACTGAAGCGAACTGTATAATAAGAAAATAAAAGTCAATTTGGAAGTCTTATTTGTCAAACGAGTTTTATCCTCTTCAGCGAGAACGCAAGTATCTTCAGCTAAAGTTCGAATAATCATTGTGTTCCTTAAAGGAGTACTTGAACAGGTTATTAAATTCGAAGGGCAGAGAGTTACAACATTGTCGCACAAAACGACTGTCCCTACGTAAACAATCGAAACTTAAAAAATTCACTTTTTTTACTAGCGTAATCTGCATTTAATAGTATTATCTTTCAATTGGGAAAACAATAGAACATAAAATTTTATTAGTTTTCATTTTAGCAACACGTAAAGTATCCAGTTGCTCCCTTGTAAACTCGCGTATTTCTACTTTCGTCCGGTTACGCGGGAACTGAAAGCGCGTGAAAGTGAGCGAGCCGGACACAACTAGGACCATCGATTATTTACGCTGCCCGCGCCGTCCGCGCGCCTGTGATTTGGCATTTATTGGTAGTGAATGCGCTAAAATAATGATTATGCGTTACATATTTTAAGTAAATAAGTGTAACAGTAGTT